TCGGATCAGTCGGTTGGGATTGTGCCGACATGCGGGCAACCCCCTCCCCGAAGGGGAAGAAGAGGAGAGAAGGACACTCCCTAAACCACCAACGCCCAGAGGGCTGGTGGGATTCGCGAGTGGGCGTGCACCGGGAGAACAGCATGGATTTCTATCTCGACCGCGCTCCCCATCTATCGGCCCTATCAGCCCGATGATCCCTGCATGGCTTACAGGGCCCATCGGGCTCACAGGGCTTATGATGGGTTCTCCGATGGCTTTCAGCCCATCCCGTCACCGTGCCGGGGTTGTGGGTCAGAGTTTTCAGGGATGATTTTGGGGGCCCCTTCGGAGCGTTCCCAGAGGTCGTCTTGGGGGCAGTTTGGGGGCCTCGTGGGGGCCTTTGGCCGGCCGTTGGGGGCCTCTGGGGGGCCACTTGGGGCCTCTGGGGCGCCTCTTGGGGACCTTTGGGGGCCTCCCGGGGGGGGCCCTCGTGGTCGAGGTCCTCTCTAAGAGTTATCTTTGGGGCCTTTTGGCGCCCTCTTGAGCCGTCTTGGGGCCCTCTTGGGGGCCTCTTGGGGCCCTCTTGGGGGCCTCTTGGGGGCCTCTGGGGCCGTCTTGGAGCGACCTTTGGGGGCCTCGTCGGGGCCACTTGGAGCGTGGGGAAGCCAACAAGGCGAGAAATCCCACACCCTTTGAAGACGAATGGGGCATCAGTGATTCTGGCCTCTCGGGGCCGTCTTGGGAGGCCCCTTGGAGGCCTCTTGGGGCGTCTCGGAGGCCTCTTGGGCCGTCTTGGGGCCATTTGGTGCGTCTTGGGGAGGTCTTCGGGCGTCTTGGGGGCCCCCTTGGCCCGTCATGCGAGCCTGGTGAGGCCTTCTGGGCCAGTCCTGGGGCCCTCTTGGCCCAAACATGTCTCGCGAGAAGCCGCGGCAGGCATACGGGAAGCCGCGTCAAGCGCAAGGAGCTGTGACTTCGGGGTCTGGTCCCTCACGAACCATTCGGATCGAAGACTGAGACTCAGGGGATTGGGCAAATGACCTGAGGACACGACGATTCCGTGCCCAGCGGCACGGTGTCGGATATTGTTTATAGGGCTCAACGGCTTTATCAGAGTCATAGGTCTTATAAGCATTATCGTGTCCAGTTGGCCTATGAATACGTATGGATAGGTGAATGTTCATAGAACTTGTAGAGTTCATTTTGTTTGCATTGGCATTATAGGGTTCATCGGACTTATCATTGATATTGTCGAGCTATGGGGTGCATAGGACTTATAGTGCCTGTAGGGCTTATAGCGTCGACATGGTTTAGTGGGATGATAGGGTGTGCACTGTTTCTAGCGCGCTTAAGGCTTATACATATTATCTATGGGACCGTACATCGCTTCTAGGGGATATAGGGCTCACCAGGGTTATGCATCTGAGACGGCTAATCTGCATTTAGGATGCAGGACTTATCGGGAGTAACTCGAGTTTACAGGGCTTATCGCCAAAACGCAAAGCAGTAAAGCATGAACAACCTCATACCATCCTAACCTGATTGCACCACGGACGCATCATAGCGTTTCAACACCAGAACGTAAGACATCGATACGACTGACCATAGTTATGATTTGGATTGGTCTCGACCTGTCATCCAGTGTTTCGCAAGAAAGCGCCACACAGTAATAGAGACACAGCAAATGGCACAGCATCGTTCCCCGCGCGCTTCTTATAAAGTCATAGAGTTTGCTGGACACGGTGCGGCACGCTCGATCTCAATACAGTAGCCCAAGACAGCGCCACAAGGTAACACAGGCAATACACAAACAACCAATCATCGCAGCTCACATCGGGGCAACCACCAGGAACACCCTCGGCAAGACGACAATCGGGACGACCCTCGGGACAACCACCGGGCCGACCATCGGAGCACCCATCGGGACAGCCATCGAGACAACCATCGGGGCAACCATCGGGACAGCCATCGGGACAGCCATCAGAGGACAACCATCAGGACAACCATCGGGACAGTCATCGGGGGGCCACGGCCGGCGAGTGGGGCGACCCATTCCTGTTGGATTCGGCCCTGGCCAGGGGAGTGATTCGCGCTGCTCTGCCTCGCCTCGCACGCATGCACGCGTTACTCACGAGACGAAGCGATGTCCCGTCTGTGTCACATAGCACTTCATTTTGGTCTCCCCCCCGACCTCCGACCATGCGAATCCGGAAGGGCCCACACCCAGCCTGTCGATTTGTACATTGTGTACCTAACGAGTTATTGAGGAAGTCTAGGGCCACCGATGCCATGTACATTCGCGCCCATGAGCTAACGTGTTGGCAACATCGTTTGCACTGCTGGCAGCTCCGGCGTACGGACGCCAGGAAACGCCTACGGGAGGCTCGAGAGTTGCATATGGTATGCCCAGCTTTCACCGGGGCACGCCGCGAATTTGTGGGCCATCGGTGCCTGGTGTCGTGCGCCAGCAGCCGTCCCCCCGCCTCCTCCTCCTCCTCCTCGTCCTCCTCCTCCTCCTCCTCCTCTTCCTCCCCCTCCTCCTCCTCCTGCGGTCGAGGATGCGGGGCCGCTCGTGCCATCAGGCAGATTGCCGGCGCCCGCGCGAGCGTCTCGGGCGATCGGGGGCGCGCCAGGACCTCATGTGCATAATAGTGTGCGCGGAGATCCCTTTCGTCGGCGAGAACCCCAACGGGATTCAGGAGAAGGCCCTGAAGTTCCCGATGCTGAAGGACCACTGGTGCTACCAGGAGCCCACGCTGGGATGTCGGCCTTTCTCGGCGCCTGGAGTCGGGGCACGGTGGAGGAGGAGGAGGAGGAGGAGGAGAAGGAGGAGGAGTATCGGCGTCATCTAAATTTACTAATACTACGCGCGCGTCTCTCCAGACGGGGCGACGCGCGCTCAGAGAGTTCTTGTAGTAATAGCTCCGTGGCGGGCGTTCTGTGGCCAGGCAGATCGGAGAACGATGTATTACAGCACTGTTGTACTCTACCATACGGTCGGACTAGTGTGTCCTTCTGCGGCCCAGAGGAGGAGGAGGAGGAGGAGGAGGAGGAGGAGGAGGAGGAGGAGGAGGCGGAGTCGGAGGAGGAGGAGGAGGAGGAGGAGGAGGAGGGAGGAGGAGGAGGAGGAGGAGGAGGAGGAGGAGGAGGAGGAGGAAGGAGGAGGAGAAGAGGGAGGTGAGGAGAGGGACTGGAGGAGGAGGGGAAGAGGAGGGGGAGGAGAGTGAAGGCAGCACCCGCAGGAACCTTACGCGATCAGGGACCAGGCGCCAGGAGGAGGGCAGCGTCAGTTGGACGGGGAGCGGGAGGAGGAGGAGGCGAAGGAGGAGGAGGATGAGGAGGAACACAAAAAGAGGAGGAGGAGGAGGAGGAGGAGGAGAAGGAGGAGGGAGGGTCTTGGGCGCACAGCGGGGCGGAGCTAGGGGGCGATGCTAAGGAGATGGCGGGAGGGCTTTGTAGAGTTAAGCCGTGTCCCCCTACAGGAGGAACATTCCAGGGTAGTAAACAAATAGTCAGGGGACGATTTCCCGAGCAATATGCTACTATTTGTTTTGTTTGCCTGTCAAAGCGCGTTTGTAGGAAGACATGCCCGATTGAATATCTAATCGTGGAGGACAGGGGCCCCAGTGGCCCTCTATCAGCGGCCTGGGGGTCGTTTCAAAAATCGTCTCGGGCCTCGACGAAGCTGCCTGCCTCAGCGGAAGCCCCCCCCGCCTGCTTCAACGGCCGCCCCCCTCGCGCCACCCCCCCAAAGCTGCGCGCCGCCAGGACGAGCTGTGCTTCTGTCCGCCTCCTCCTTCCTTCCCCCGCCCTCCTTCCGCAGAAGGCGCCTGCGTGCACCGCGCAAGTGGCCTGCTGGAACCGTCCTTGGGAGGAGGAGGAGGAGGAGGAGGAGGAGGAGGAGGAGGAGGAGGAGGAGGAGGAGGAGGAGGAGGAGGAGGAGGAGGTGGGGGGTGCCGTAGCCATTTTGGCTGAAGGGGCCTGCTCCTGAGCTTCCAACCTCGCTCGAAAGATTGAAGATTGTTGGTTTTAGCTCACCCCACGAGACTTAGTGGCCTGTGGTTCGCGGCCTCACCGCAATCGTTCTTCCCTCAAGCCAGCTTTCTCTGTTCCTTCGGCGCGCGCGATGGTGGGCTGGGGCTACAGAGCGTGTAGTGTGTGGAACCGTGGCAACAAAACCAAGTGCTTTAGCTGCGAAGCCTGTCGACCCGATGGGAGTGGACCGACCTACGCCGACCCGCTGCCGCCCCAGGGGGAGTGTTGACGCTCGTTGGAGGTCGTCGTCGCAAGCCCCAGTTCGGCTCCGCTTCCCCGCCGTGGGCCAACCGTGAGTTCCTCGCCGGTGGGCCAGGACCAGGTGGGGGAGGTAAGGGGCGGGACAAGCAGGGGCAGAACGGTGGACGAAAGGGTGCAGGGCAGAGCCCCCCATTCACAGAAAAAAAGCAGATGGAGTTCTGGGTGGATATGCCCGATGAGAAGTGGCAGATCGGCAGCTCGACCCTCACCCAGAGCCAGAGAGACAATGTTGCATACCGTCGCCGTTTGCGAGCAGCGGGATTACAAGACCCGTCCCGACACAAGGATGTACCCCAGCCAGTTCGAGCGGCCCAGTTCAAAGTTGCCCAGGCAGAGCGGCGAGCAGAGGCAGCCAGTGAGGCAGCGGCAGAGGTAGCAGCAGCAGTTCTCGAGACCGAAGACCTTCTGACTCAAGCCAAGAACGAGCTCGAGGAAGCCAGGCGCGCCGCCACCCAGAAGTTGGGCGCCACAGGAACTCCTGGAGCGCAAGCAGTACCTTCTCAAGTCTGGGCAAGCACCGACAAGCTCGCCACGCTCCTTGGTAAGGTACTTGACGCAGCAGAAGGAGAGCCGTCCGAGGAGGCCAAGCTGGCCCAAGAGGCGCTCGCCCAGCTCTCCGGGCGCAAGCCGAGGGTGGAGCCCCCTGGCGGTGGCGGTGGCACTGCTGCTGGCGCTGGGGCAGCAGGAGCCCAGGCGTCGGCAGCAGGAGGTGGATCGAAGCCAACAGACAGCGACGCCCCCATAGACGAAGCAGAGGAGCCAGGTTCTGCTGAGTCGGCCAAGCGCGTCCGAGAGCTCATGGAACAATGGGCAGCCGATGACACCGAACAATCCCGTCAAGAAGCCATGGTCGCGTTGTTCCAGGAACTGGCGACCAAGCGCAAAAGAAGGGGTAACATCGGCTTCGAGTACCGCGGCCATCCTCACTCCCACAGGGGGGCAGAGGGCACATCTGGCTGCTACACTCACTCCGCCAGGGGCAGAGAGCACGTTCGAGTACTACGGCCAGGCGCACTCCCGTCCGAGGGGGCAGAGGGCACATCTGGTTGCTACACTCACTCCGTCAGTGGCAGAGAGCACGTTCGAGTACCTCGGCCAGGCTCACTCCCTTTCGTGGGGGCAGAGGGCACATCTGGATGCTACGCTCGCTCCTTTGGGAGCAGAGAGTACGTTCGAGCACCGCGGCCAGACTCACTCCTCCGTGGAGAGCAGAGGGCACAGCTGGTTGCTACACTCACTCCCACGGGAGCCGAGCATGTTCGAATACCGCAGATCATCGACCAGATCGACCGCGTTTTTTTCTTCGCCAGTGCCACGTCCGGGAATGGCAAGAGCATGTCGTGCGTGCGCGACCAGAACGCTGCCCTGGCCAAAGCCTCAGTTGTCGGCATAGCAGAGCACCGCTTGATGAAGGCACGACTCAATGAGGTCAAACAATCTAGATATGTGGCTGGGCAACATCGTCAGTGGCTGCAGCGCCGACTTCGGGGCCAGGCAGCCGCTGACATGGTGGAGCATGGCTTCAAGTGCGACAGGAATGTGACCGGAAGACACTCCCTGACAAGAAGACGGATGTAGACCACTGGGCTGCCATGACCCTCTGGATGCACGGCATCGGTGGCGCCATCTTCGTGGTCATGTACTTGGCAACCGGTGTAGGCTTGGCTTATCTCAAAGGGCGCGACTTATCATATATATATATATATATGTGTATGGATATATATATATGCATATATATATATATATAGCGATGGCATATTCAAACCTGGAGACGCACGAGGTGGGCCAGATGCAGATCACCACGTACCCCGACGGCAGCTGGATGGCGCCGCGGGGAGCTCACCCAGGGGGTAACCGTCTGATCGACTACTGTCTCGTCGCGAGCAGCACTCAGCACATGGTGAAGCTAGAGTGGGACTTGCAGGGGCCTTGGGCGTCGCCGCGCGCCAGCATGAAGGGCGCGGTCAAGCACGCAGGGTCAGAAGCTCATCAAGCGTATCATGGAGCAGCCGATGGAATGCCAACTCGCAGCTGGACCAGATAGGCCGCGGCAGCAGCGCGTAGAGGTGGCCCAGCACAGAATCGAGAAGGGCATGCAGCAGGACACGCCGCAGCAGCGCAAGGTCTGGGGCGTGGATCACGTCTATATGGAGTTCGCGATGGCGTCCGACAGCTTGCTCCTTGGTAGACAGGGCGCCGATGCCCCCGATCTGTAGTTTTTGCGATGAGAACACCCGGCCGCAAGACCAGCCCCAGTCCAGCTGACAAAACCGCATGGGTGGCTAGCGGAGACAACCCTTTCAGCACAGTGGGGCAGCCTAGGAGTTAGACTTCGCAGCTTATTACGATTAAACATAGGATTAACGAAAAAAGGGGCGGGGTGGCGGGGCTAGCCTGGCGGCGGTCGAGGCCGCTCGCAAAGTGAAGGGGGGGGGGGGGGGCTGGGGAGCCAGCCTCAATATTAGAGAGTGGCGATGACAAAGCCTCCCTGGGGGCCCTGGGCGATTCGGGGGTGCCCCTGGGGAGCCTCGGTGAGGAGCAGCTGCGTCGGAAGGCCAAGTCGGCCGACGGGCTCATTGAAGCGATTGAAGGTCTCTGTATCCGAGTCAGCTCTAAAAGTTTCAGGGATTGGTTTGAAGCTCCCACCGAGCGAGGGGCAGGCGCTATCCATGGACGCAGCAAGAGCTGGGGGACCCAGAGAAGACCATTTCTGTTGGGCATGATTCCGTCGGGGCCGCCATTGTAGAGCCCATAGCAGCAGTCATGCAGAACATTGATATCTGGATGGGTTCCTGGGGGCGAGGCAAGGGGCGACCTCAGGACCAGGGGTGGTGGCAGGATTTCAAGCGAGCTGCCAGAGCGCACAGCCTCACCCTAGACCCCATAGCAGTCGAAGAGGTGCAATCAAGCTTAAAATATTTGATACCAGTTATAGACATGGGCGTTGATAGATCCAACCCAAGATGGCGGCTACAACTCCCGCGAGAAGCGCTAGTCCACCTTGCTGCCCTGCCCAACTTGGTGGAGCAAACCCTTCGGTGGCCAGGCCAGATTTTAGTCGACATAGCGCAGCTGATGTTTACATCGGAGAGAGCAGACAGGCCGAAAACTTCAACTCAAGGTGTGAACCGAGCATGGTCTCGGGTCAGGCGTCATCAGGTAGCAGACTGGTCTGCTGGAGAAGTACAGTTCCGGGACAACGCCGTCGCAGGCCCCGGCTCTCTCAGGGCAGCCATACTGAGACTAACGAAGCTGGGGATAGCGAGCCTCCAACAGATCTCCTGGAGCGAAGTGCTCTGGGATCTAGAGAAATTCTACGACGCGATTGACCCAGAGCAGCCCTGGCACCCTGGCATGTAGGTGCGCAAGTGCAGCGTCCTCCTACTCACTTCTTCCTCGGCCTCAGCCTCCGCTTCGGGGCTCGGAGGTGCCGAGCTGGGCGGGGCCATTTCTGAGCCGCTGGAGGCCTTTTCTGGGATCCTAGCAGGCTGTTCTCGGAGCGTCGACATGTTCCGGCTCACCCCGTGGCAGATGCTAGCATATTTACACGAGAACTACAGATCAGTAGAAGTGCAGAACTGGTTTCATGGCTGTAGCCAGTTTGCTGTAGGCAGGGAGCCCATTGTCATCGGCAAAACAGTGGAAGCGATTAAAGCTTGTGCCAACCACTGCCCGGAACTAAGCCTTACGATCTCTAGCAGGAGCGTCCAAGTCAGCAGTCCACCGAGAGTGGCATGTGAAATGCAGCGTAGGCTTGGCTCTCGCATGCAGTTGAGGAGATCACAATGCGTAAAAGACCTTGGGATCGACGGCACTCCCCACAGATGTTCTGTAGCAGCGGCCTAGAAGAGAGTGCCCGATAGCACCAGTAGAGGTAACATAATTCGCGGAGTTGTCAAGACTTCCAGAGCTGCGAAATCTGTCAGAGCGCGTGGGGAATTGAGGCTCAAGGAGTAGCCCCATCCACGCTGCTACGAATGCGAGCGCAGATCTCGGGCATGGTTGGCCGCGAGGAAGAAGGATGCGCGACTGCGACTCTTAGGACGGCCTTCCCAACGGCACGCCAGGGCCCGATGGTTCTTGGCAGGCTGCGTCTTTTCAATGAATGGATCGGACTTATGCCAACCCTTCGGTCAACCCACCGCCAGGCTCTTTTCTTAGCTTGGAGAAAAGCAGGCAGCATTTCTGAAGGGGCCATAAGCCGATGGGGAAAAGTCAAGGGGACCCTGTCGGCCACGGCGGCCGCGCTCCTGGACCTTGGGTGGAAACCTCTTTCACCGACCCTGCGGCAGGACCCAGACGGAGTGCAGTTCGATCTGGAAGAAGCTGACCCACAGATGCGGTCAGAATTTGTTGTACGGATCCCTAGACCAACAGGCTTGGGAGCTAGCAGCGGCACATTTTAAAGGCAAAGGTCTCGAGCACGGCCCTGATCTTACAGTCAACGGGCAACGCATGGCCGCCAGAAAAAAAGAAGAAGCGCAATGCGACACAGCTGGTCTGTTCACAATGATTATGACAGGCGCCCTCCGGCCTGCGAGCCGGCGCTTTGGAGAAGAAGCTACCAGGCCCCCTCCAATCCCTCCAGCAACGGCCGCCGCCGCTGCGCAGGCGTCTGATCAGGCCCCCCTGGAGCCCCAAGCGCACGGTAGAGCCGGCGGTCTGGATGAGGAAGAGGGGGATTCTGATTTTTTGGATTTGCTCAGGCAAGCCCAGGAGGATGACGAGGGCCCTTGGGGCTCCCCTCCTGACAGTTTCCCAGAGGAGCTTCAGGAGGCCGCGGGGGTCTCCTCGCCGCGCAGGCCACCTTGGACCACACCAAAGTGCCTTCGGCGTTGTGCTCCGCAAGAGACACTTTTCCATCGTATTTGGGAGTGCCCAGGGAAGCAAGGCTTGGAGGGCCTGCGCTTGGAGCTCTTGGAGGAAGCCCGTAAAGGCCAAGAAGAGTGGCCCTGTTTTTGGCTCAGGGGCATAGTGCCAGCGCTCTGGGCGCTGCCCCACGCCTCGCGCCCGACCCAGGGCGCCAAGATCTCAGGAGGTGCCCTGGCAAGAACTGCCAAGATTCGTTTCGCCAGCTCAATGATTGTTGCCACTCATGGTTCAGGTGGCAAGTACCACGATGACTACAGGCTCAGAAGATGTGGGCGGGGCTTTGCGGTGGTGGATGAGTGGGGCCTGCTCGGGTTGGGGCACGGGCCTTTGGAGCACTGGAAGCAGACAGTTCCAATCGCAGAGTTGACAGCTGCCACAGAGGCGGTGGAAGCTACTGAAGGAGATTTAGTTTTGGTGATAGATGCCCAGTCTGTGGTGGACGGCATAAGTGCCGGACCACATGGACGGCGCAGCGCCAACGAGTTTTTGTGGAAGAGATTTTGGGCCGACCTTGGTGATAGGCCCAACGTGGCCCACAAAATCAAGAGTCGCCTTGCGGCTGAAGAGGCCGAAGCGACACACGCGCCCCCACAGCATTGGTTCGCGAATCGTCTTGCAGATCAGGCAGCGGAGGAGGGCGCCCGTCAGGCGCAGCTTTCGCCCCAGGATTTCGCCGCGATAGCGGCCATCGACTTGAAAGCGACAAGGGTGCACGAGCACATGCTGGCGGTGGCCCTCGCGGTCACTCAGCAGGCACCGTCTCTCTGCGGCGCGAGCTCGCGGCAAGACCGCGCGCAAGAGGACAAGGCTCGGGCTGGGGAAGGGCGGGGGGCGTCTCAGCAGAAGGTCGTAGATTCGGCCCACTCGGTGAAGCGAGAAACCCGAGGTCGAATGCAGTGTACGGTGTGTTTCACAAAGCCAGAGCCAGGAGTGATAGAGTCCTGGCTTTCCCGCCCGCGTATCGGGTATCCCGCGAATTTGCACAGGAGCCATGCCGCGTGGAACTTCAAAGGAGTATTTTGGTGTTGGGCCTGCGGGGGGTGCGGCGCCACTTCTTTCCAAAAGCTCAGCGTGCAGTGTAAGCCGCAGGCCTTCACCAAGGGTGCCAAACGTCTCATTCATTCCCTGGAACTGGAGAAGCTGCCAGTGGGCATCAAGGAATGGGCTCAGCCAGACGACCTGCGACCCCCCAGGCCCATTGTTTTTGTTTAGTGGCCAATGAGTCACAGCGGTCCCTGTCAAAGGATTTGGCCGCCAAGGTAGGTAACACGTATGAGGAGGAGGGGGGGGCGGAGGAGCAGGAGGAGGAGGAGGGGGAGGAGGAGGAGGAGGAGGAGGAAGAGGAGGAAGAGGAGGAGGAGGAGGAGGAGGACGAGCCGAAACAACCGCAGTTGACCGTCCGGGGCCCGCCCTCGTCGAGAGGCGGCCGACCGAGCGCAGTTCGGAGAGGAGGTCCCCGGTCGCAGGGCCCCAGGAGGTCCCAGGAGGTCCCCGGGGGACAGGCTCCGAAGGCGTCGCGGGCGGCGCCCTTCGAGCCGGAAGGCGCGACCCCTCCCCGGGACCCTCCGCTGTCGACCCGCCTCCCCGCCGGAACCCCAGGGGGTCGTTATTTTGACCCAGTTATAGGAACATCGTGCGTAAGTCTCGTCCTCCGCCTCCTCCGAAAAGGCCAGGCGAGCCAAAACCCAGTCGAGATTCTGAAGGCTAATTTACCTCGTTCAGTCAGCGTTTCCCGACACAGTCGCAATATCCGTAACTCCGTAACTCCTCCTTCTCCTCCTCCTACACTTTTTCTTCCTCCTTTTCCTCCTCCTCCTCCTCCTCCTCCCCCTCGGGGAAGGGGTTCCCTTTGACTTGAGCGATGGTGTTCCTTAGTTTCCTTGCTGTTGACGACGACGGCGACCGCGTCGACGATGATGACGACAGCGCTTTCCGCACGCCGATAGTCCAGGCCTTCCAAACGGGGTCCATGCAGATGTGGTCGGAGGATCGCGCCGCAGCGCCGATGCATCGGCGATGCGGCTCGAGGTGGAGCCCGATCTTACGCCGATGTTGCCGATGCATAGCAAAAACGTTGCCCATGCATCGACGATGCTACGGCGACAAGGCCAGATCCTCCGACCCCATGTGCTCGGACCATATCTAGGAGGCCTCTGGAGGGGTCGGCGGATTTTGAGCTGCCCTTGTCTCACCTTGCCCGTTTCAGAGTCCTGGGCCTCAAGATGGTGCAGAGGCCATCTTGGTTTCGGCCAAGAGGGATCGTGCCCGGGCCTACAGGGTCCAGGGTCACTTTGGGAACACATTAGCGGCCCCTCTTTTGGACCTGGCGATATGTACATGTGTATACATATATACATATATATATATGTGTATACTTGTGCATATACAATGTATGTATGTATGTATGTATGCATGTATGTATGTATGTATGTATGTATGTATGTATGTATGCATGCATGCATGTATGTATGTATGTATGTATGTATGTATGTATGTATGTGTATATATAGTGTGTTTCGGCCGTGGAAGTGACATCCCGCTCCCAGGCCCCCCCTTTCGGGGCCCTCCCAAAATCCTCACAGGATCACAACAAGGCCCCAATCGGATTCCAGTGAAATCCCAAGAGGGTTGTAGCATGAACGCAATAATTGAGATCCTAATCGGATCCCGATGGGGATCCTATCGGTATGTAAATCATATATGGTTCTGACCACATGTCCATCCGAAATATGAATTTTCACTATCCCAGAGGGGCCGCCACGGCCACGGCCACGGCCACGGCCACGGCTGCGGCAACGCTGCGGCCACGGCCACGCTGCGGCCACGGCCTCGGCCACGGCCACGGCCGCTCCGAAGGCACTTTCAGAGTCCCTTCGGTGCGACGTGGGCGCCCATGTCGCCCATGTCGCGCGCGTCGCCCATGTCGCCCACGTCGCCCATCCAGACTCCCTCATTGCCTCCAGGCTCTGCGAGCAAATGGTCTCAGAGCACCCTGCAGGGTCCGCTTCGATCCGATCGGATCCGGTTCGATATCGACTTCGGCAGGCCCGACCCGATCTGGTCCCGACATCTTCGCGATCCGATGCACGGCGTTGTCGTGTTTTCTAAGCGCGTCCGATCCGACTCGTCTTCGACTTCGTGCCGATGCAGCCCGCGCCGACGCGCGTTCCGTTTCGCTATTGTGTTCCCAATATATGTTTCTGCAGATGGTGTGTTTGCTTTTTGCGTGCCCCTTCTTTGCAGATGGAAGAGCTGACCTTCATCCTCGACGCTGCGTTCAAGTTCAAGGCCTCGAAGCCAGGCCGCGAGGCTCGCTGGCGTCTTTTTGCCGATCTCGCACCCCCCCTCTCTCATCCTCGGCATGTCTTGATCTCGTCATCTGCATACAGTCGGGTCCCTGAAGAAGGAACCTTTTCGTTGGGAAGGGGCTCCGTGTTCCTTAATTGTTTCACCGCTTGCCTCAAGTTTTCCTCGTGTTTTCGATGGGAAATCAAACTTCAACTTATGGTAACAAGGGGCATCGTTCCTTATTTGGGATTCCTTGGGTCAACGCCCCGACTGTATTCTCCAAACGGTGCTTGCGCTCAGGTCAGAGCCCCGAATCATCAGGGTTAACTCGGGTCAGGGGTAACTCGGGTTCCTTTTTCGGGAATCCAAGCCCGAGTTACCCCGGACCCGAGTTACCCCGGATAACTCGGGCGCCCAATCAGGGGCCCTTCCTTCGTCTTGTGAAGCAGCTGGACGGGCCCGCCGACGAGTCTCCCGCGCCGTCGCCCCGTGGGCGCCCGTGGGCGCCCCGTGCGCTGGGCGGCTCCGCCGCCCCGCGGGCGCCCCGTGGGCGCCCCGTGGGCGCCTCGTGCGCTGCGCGGGGGCCCGCCGCCGCTGCGCGCCGCGCCGCCGCCGTGGGCGCCCCCGTGGGCGCCCCTGTGCGCCTTGGGGGTGTGCTGGCGCCAGGGCCTGCCGCCCGCGCTGCCGCCCGCGGGAAGCGCGGTGGGCGCGCCCCTCCTCCTCCTCCTCCCCACTCCTCCTCCTCCTCCTCACTCCTCCCCTCCTCCTCCTCCTCCTCCTCCTCCTCCTCCTCCCCCTCCTCCTCTCCTCCTCCTCCTCCTCCTCCTCCTCCTCCTCCTCCTCCTCCTCCTCCTCCTCCTCCTCCTCCTCCTCCTCCCCACCTCCCGCGGGCAGGAAGGCGCGAGCCCGCGCCCTGCCCGCGGGGGGCGCTCCGCGGGCGAGTGGTCGAAGGCGTCTGCGTGCACGCCTGCTCCGCGAGTCACAGCCGGTGCTGGAGCCGTCTGGGACACCATGCTGAGGTTCGGGCCGGACGAAAGGGGGGATATTACCAGCCTCGAACGTATCCCTATCCCTAAGATTGACGCGCCAAAAGGCGATGACAATCTTAGGGATTCGCCCCCAAAAAGTAAGGGGATCCCTAAGACTGGCGTCGTGATGAGGAGGTGCCCAGCATAGGGATAGGGATATGTTCCAGGCTGGTAACCTTGGAATGAAGGTAATATGCACAGGTTCTGGTATGTGGAACAGTTTCAAAGTAGGGAAAAATCAGGTTGCGAAAATAGATTGTTATCACATCTTCAACATATATACATATACCATAGGAGTAGGCCCGCCGCAGGCGCCGAATCTACCACCAGACAACCAATTTCGATCGCAAGCCCGCCGCAGGCGCCGATTTGGATTGAAACCTGAACCAACATGAGGATGGCGAGCCCGCCGCAGACGCCGATTTTATCGCCAGAACGCGAATTCTTGTCGCAAGCCCACCGCAGGCGCGGATTTTTCATTGAAGCGATAAAAAACATGAGGGCGGCAAGCCCGCCGCAGGCGCCGATTTTATCGCCAGAACGCGAATTCTTGTCGCAAGCCCACCGCAGGCGCCAATTTTTCAGTGAAGCCTTGAATGGAATGAAGATCGCGAGCCCGCTGCAGGCGCCGATTTTTTCAAGAACCACGGGGAGATCGCAAGCCCGCCGCCAGCGCCGATTTTTCCTTGCACCGAAAGGGCCCTTCCCCTCCCACGACGCCGCGGAGGCCCCCCCATTGGCGGGCCTGCCGCCCCCCCCTTGGCCGGAAGAACAAAGAAATAACGGAACGACTTGCCGACCCCAGAGCAACCAACACGCGCGCGACTTGAAACGAATTCGCGTGGGCGGAACCCCCTCCTCACTCCGATGTTGGCCTCTCGGGGCCTTCTTCGGAGGACTCTTGAGAGCTCTTGCGGCTTCTTTGGGGCCTCTTGCGGGCCCTCTTGGGGGCCCTTGTTGCCTCTCGGGGCCTCTTTGGGTGGGTGGGGGGGGTGGGATTTTCGCATCCGGAGGGATCGCAAAATTGCTTCCCACAAATCATGCGGAAAGGCGCGGGGAGCCCCAGAAGATTTCTGAGTTTGGGCTCCAGGTCCTTCAAATAATTTTGAAGACAGAGGACTGAGGCTCAAGAGTGAGGTAGATGACGTCGGAACACGCCCGCTCCGTGCCTCAGGGCGTTGTGGCGCATTGGGTCTTGGAAGATCTCTGGCTATTTGGAGCCGTATCGCGGGCCGTCTTGAGCCTTGCCGCATGTGGGGACAATGTTTGAGCCATCGTGGGCGCTTTGATGGACCTGCTATAAGGGGGTCCGGGACAAGGGTCGCGCCCATCCCCGACAAGGACTTCGTTTGAGAAAGCAGGGATCGCCGACAGGGCCGACGGGATGCATTGTTGGGCCCCGCTACAAGAGTCACGCCGCCTCGTTTGCGACCCGCGCGGCTGCGCGCTTCGTTTGGCGTTGCGCCCCCGCCTGCCCCCCCGCCCGGGACGGCCCGCCTCTCTACCCAATGGTGTTTGCGGCAGGGGGGTGGGGCAAGGCTCTTTGGGATGGGGCGGCAGCAATCCGCCGCAGGATTCCCGGCGGCGTCGCGCTGTTTCACCTTGTTCCGGCCGGCGGCCCCAGGGAACACATCATTTCGCTTTTATGTTTTTACTTTTTCGTTTCATTTTTCTACATTTTCAATCGGTTCGGCTGCCCTTTTTTCCGCATTTATTGTATAATTTTTATGGAAAAATAGGTGCGCCCAGCGAAACTTATTTTTTGTACGTTTTCCGATATTTTTTGTGTAATCAATAGCGAACCAAATGACGACAAAAATAGCTGAAAAAAAGGCGCGCGGAATTGTCGGTTTCGGCCGCCGAAAAAAATAGCGATAAAATATATAAAAAATAAGCGCCGCAAAAGTCCCCGGGGATGCACCTTTTTCCAGTTATTTCTGTCATGGTTTCGCTATGTTTTCGCTATTTCTCTGCCCGCCCCTCCTCCTCCTCCTCCTCCCCCTCCCCCTCCGCCTCCTCCTCCCGCCTCCCCCTCCTCCTCCCCCTCCTTCCTCCTCCTCCTCCCCCCTCCTCTCCCTCCCTCCCCCCCCTCCCCCCCCCCACCCTCTTTCCTCCCCCCCCCCGGCCGCGCCGCCCAATAGGGGGGCCTCCGCGGCCTCGCGTGCGGGGGGGGGGGGAGGCTTTTTCTGTGCATGACAAAAACGGGCGCCTGCGGCGCTTGTGATTTCCTCATGGTCTCGAAATAATCGGCGTCGATCGTCATTTCATTCACGTTTTTAAGAGCAAATCGGCGCTTGCGGTGGGCTTGCGCCATGAATTCGTTTTCTAGCATTTACTTTTTGGTGGAAAAAATTGGCGCCTGCGGCGGGCTTGCCATCTTCACGCTTGTTACGGCTCCAGTTTTTAATCGGTGCCTGCGGCGGGCTTGCAATCATAATTCGTTTCCTGGTCATAATATCGGCGCTTGCGGCGAGCTTGCCATCATCATGCCGGTTTTGGCTTCAATGCAGAATCGGCGCTTGCGGCAGGTTTGCAAACAGTATCCGCTTTCTTCCTATAAAGAAATAGCGTCGTTTGCGGGCTTGCGATATCAATGCAGATTTTTGGTTTGATTCAAAATCGGCGCTTGCGGCGGGCCTGCGATAAGACCACAGCGATCCCCGCCAAACCCAACTCAGCGCCTTCACTCCTTTCCGCATCAGCGGGGGTGGGGACTGGCGCTCGTGGATGCAGCAAGCCTGCTGCGGCAGGGTTTCCACTCGTGGGGGATGTTCGAAAAATGTCCCCCCCTCCTCCTCCTCCTCGTCCTCGTCCTGCTCCTCCTCCTCCTCCTCCTCCTCATTCCCCTCCTCTTTTCTTCCCCCATCCTCCTCCTTTTCCTCCTCCTCCTTTTCCTCCTCCCTTTACCCCTCCTCGTGTTCGTCGCCGTGGTCATCCTCGTCCAACTCCTCATGTTCTTCCTCGCCCTCCTCTATCAACTTTTTCCTCCTTCTTCTCCTTCTCCTCGTCCATATCCTTCCTCTCCTTCTCCTCCTCCTCCTTCTGTTTCCTTTGTTCCAATGCGATTCGCCATGCGATGTCACGCAACCTCTCCGGCTGGAACCCACTTTCTCCTGACAGCTGCGCCGTTGCAGTTGTTGTCCCTTCTCTCTGCTTTGCCGTCGCGCCGCCGCCGCCGCTGCCGTTGCATTCGGGGCCTTGTATATGTTTGTTATTTCTTTAAGAATGTACTGCAACGGCCTGATTTTGACCTATTTCACATCACATATTTTTCTACATTTTTCATGCAACTAAACTGTTTCCGCGATTCTGAGGCTGTCCATTCGTAGCTGCATTTTAATGGTAACCGCGGGCGTCCCCGCGCGCCGATTTTCGACCGCGCGGCCTGCACCGCGTAATGAAGAACGACGGTTGATAAATGACCGGGGGTCGTGTTCGCGCGGCGGCGCCCGGGATGGCGATTAGAGGAAAAACCGGCCGCGGGCCAGAATCCTATGTTTTTGATCGTCCTCCTCCAGTCCGAAAGCTGTACAGAAATAGCAGGAAACTTGTTTTTTGGCGTTCTTTCTCATTTTTTATCAGTCGTCATCCCGCATTAGCTTACGCGACGCAGCTTGCACCACGCAGCTTGCGCCGCTCGGCCTGCACGACACATGCCACATCACGTGACTCAGGGCCTTCGGCCCATCCCGCCACCGTGCCCGTGTTGTGGACTGTGGGTCAGGGTTCTCGGCGATGTTTCCTGGGGTCTCTTCGAAGCACTCTCGGGGGCCTCTTGTTGGGAGTTTTGGGGTGTGTTGGGCCTCTTGGAGGCATCTTGGGGGCCTCTTGGAGCCTCTTGGGGGGCGCTTGGGGCCTCTTGGAAACCTCTTGGGGGCCTATTGGGGGCTCATGGGGCCCCTCGGGGCCGAGGGCTCGAAAGGTCTGCTCGGGTTTCCCATCTGTTCCCGCTTTTGAAGCCGGGCCGTCTTGGGCGCCTGTTGGGTTGTCTTGGGGCCCTCTTGGGCCGTTTCGGGGCCCTCTTGGGGGCCCCTTGGGCCGTGTAGGGGCGATCTTGGGGGCCTCCTGTGCCATCGTTGCGTGTCGAGAAGTCACAGGCGAGAAGGCCACAAATTTTCAGACATTTCATGACAATCAATAATTGTGGCATCTTTGGGGCCCTCTTGGAGGCCTCATGGGGCGTCTTGGAGGCCTCCTTGGCCGTACTGGGTCCAGCTTGGTCGTCTTGGAGCGGTCTTTCGGCGACTCGGGGCTCTCGTGGGCCGTCTTTGGGGCCTCTTGGGGCCCTCTTGGCCCGTCTGGAGGCTCTCTGGGGCCCAGACGAATCATGCGGCAAGACTCGCCGGATCCCCGACAAGCCGCGGGGAACCCTGGGGTAATCGAGAGTATGAGGTCTGGGCCCCAAAGAGATCCCGCAAAGGTGAGGATTGAGGCTGAGAGGATTCGGCAACGTACCTGAGAACATGCATGTTCCGTGCCAAGAGGCACCGTGGCAGATCTTATGTTGGATAGCGTTCGCCTCCAGCTCACACCATCTACATTACACGAACTAGCTTCCACGACATATAGAACACAAAGGGGATGTCACCTCCATGTCCCGCACCACATAGTTTACGCAACATGGTTTGCACCACACTTCTTACCCCGCGTAGCTCCCACCTACACAGCACAACAACCCACTGTTTGAGATCCACGATTGCTAACACATTGTATCGGTACGCACCCATACATGTGTTATAGTGTCTCCACACACATATGTGTAGATCAATAATTATGAAGGAATCAATCCCTCTCTCTCTGCTTCTCCTGTCCTACACTGTCTCTATCCCCCCCCCCCCCATCACATCTATCCGCCCTGCCTCATTCCTCCGCGTCGTTCCTCACACCGCTGTCTCTTCTCCTCCTCCGTCACTCTCCCTCATCATCCCCTCTCCTCGTCCTACTCAACTCTCCGTGCCAAGCGGCTGCCGCTTGTTCCCTGGCGAGAATATGAGAAGAAAGGCTGAGGAGGAAGAGGAGGAAAGGGGATGATAATGATGATGAGGGGAGGATTCTACGACCATAGTTCTGGCTATGACTTGGACGAGAAATTGAGGGTAAGGAGTGCAGAGGCAGCGGAAGGGACGGGAAGGAGGAGGCGGAGGAGAGGAAGAGGGTGTAAGCGTGCACGCGCCAGGGACGAGGAGCGGGAAGAGGACGGACGAGCATGATGATTACACTTGGCGCCAGGGTTAAGAACAGACGTAGCCTCGGAGGGCTGCCATGATCTTCGTGTTGAGGTTCTCTGCCTTGGAATGGTTTCGTTTTGAACGTTTCCATGGGGGCTTGGGGCTTTGGAGACTGGTCTGGTGTCCTTGAGCCACGCTCTTGTCATACGGTCGGGGCGCTGAAGAAGGAACCCTTTTCGTTGGGGGGGGCTCCGCGTTCCTTAAGTGTTTCACAGCTTGCCTCAGGCTTTCCTTAGGTTTTCGCTACGAAATCGAAGGTTGACTTATGGAGAAAAAGGGGCCTCGTTCCTTATTTAGGGTTCCTTAGGTCAACGCCCCGACTGTAGCTGTTTGGCCGAAGCAGGAGGAGAAGAAGGCACGGGTGAGATTCACTTCGCGGCCATGGCTACCGTGCCTCGGGGAGCGGGGCAGATGTGGCGGGGCTGGCCCTCGGCGCTGGCTGGATGTACGCAGCGAGGGCCCATGCCAAGAAGCACCCTGTTTGCCTCCAGGGTGCCCTGGGTTTCTTGGCGTTCGACGGTTTTGCCATGGCAAGCGTGACGTTCCCGCACCCAAGCAGTCCATCGACGCCCTGGGGTCTCGGGATTGGGTTTTTCTTGCGGAAGGTTTCTCGTTGTCGCGCCCCTGGCGAGGAGGAGGGGGTGGAGGAGGAGGAGGAGGAGGAAGAGGGAGGAGGAGGAGGAGGAGGAGGAGGAGGGAGGGGGCGGAGGAGGAGGAGGGAGGAGGTGGAGGAGGAGGAGGAGGGAGGGGGCGGAGGAGGCGGAGGGAGGAGGCGGAGGAGGCGGAGGAGGCGGAGGGAGGGGGAGGTTTCTGTATGGCGTGGTCGGCCCTTGGCGATGGCCAGGTATCTACACGTGGGCACATGCCGCTGCGGCGGTCGGCCCTGCCAACCTTGCGCATCCGGCGCGTGGCCTCCCCGCATGCTCCACATGTGGGCTCAGCAGGGTGTGCGTCCCTTCGCACGCTCCTCCTCCTCCTCCTCCTCCTCCTTCTTTCTCCTCCTCCTCCTCCTCCTCCTTTCTCCTCCTCCTTTCTACTCCTCCTCCCTCATGCCTCCCCCTCCTCCTCCTCTTCCTCCTCCCATCATGCCTCATCCTCCTCATCCTCCTCCTTTCCTTCTTGTGCTTCCCGCTTCCAACTGTGCTGCCAGCTTCCTGTTTGGCGGAAGCGGGAGGAGAAGAAGGCACCGGTGTGATTCTGGGTGGCGGCCACGGAGGCCGTGCACAAGGGAGCGGGGCAGCTTTGGAGTGGCCGGCCCCTGGCTGTGACCGGACACTGACATGTGGGCACGTGCCGCTGCAGCGTTCGG